TTCTGGTCATGTCGTGCCTTCAGCCCTAACCGAAGCAAACAGTCTCCTGTGGCCCGAGGCCGTCCTCTACCTCTTCACCACCAACACCATCAAAGCCGGCTGGCTCTCCGTAAGTTCGGTGTCGTCGTACCTTAGCTGGTGCAATCGCTAATGAGCGCTGCAGATCACCACCGGAGTCGGCGTCATCGTCGGTGAAATTGCCGCCGGTATTCTCATGAAGCCTCTCGGCTTCACCAAGTACCAGCTCATTGCGTCGACCGTGATCATCACTGCGTTCTCCGGTGCCCTGGCGGCGATCAACCAGCACCACCAGGCATATGGCATTGCAGTACGTACCTCCTTCGTCTCGTACCTTTCCCCTGGTCTCAAACACCCACCTCTACCACAAACAGCAACCCCACTAACCCACTGAACCACCAGTTCACCGCAATCGGCGGCTTCGCAGTCGGCTACCTCGAACTGATCACCCTGATCATGTGCCCCCTGTACTGCAAACCGGAGGACATCGGTCTCGCCAGCGGCTTCCTGGGCTCCGCCAAGCAGATCTTCGGCACCATTGCCAGTGAGTGTTCCCTTGCCCTTGTCCCCAAGCACCCTACCATGACCCTCCGAAACTAGACCCATAACTAACACATCAAAGCGGCCATCTACGTCGCCATCCTCCAAAACCGGATCACCGCGAACCTGCCCACGACCGTGACGCACGCCGCCACTAAGGCCGGCCTGCCCTCGTCCTCGCTCACCGACCTCCTCGAGGCGGTCGCCGCGGGCACCAGCGCCGCCCTGGAGGCTGTGCCTGGCATGACGACCAAAATCCTGGCCGCCGTGGCGGATGCGGAGAAGACGGCGTATGCGATGTCGTTCCGCACGGTCTTCTGCGTGAGTATCGCGTTCGGGGGGCTGTCGATCGTCGCGTCGCTGTTCTCCCGCGAGGTGGATACGCGGTTGGATGGGGGGGTTGCGGCCAAGTTGCAGGGGAAGGGGGAGGGTCAGTCGCATCAGGAGTGGGAGACAAAGGGAAGTGTTGATGAGGAGGCTCGTTAAAATTATTTTCTGTTGTGGTAATGACGGTTGAAGTTGAAAGGAAGGTGGTTTAGAATGCGGGTTTATTTGTGCGGTGTCAATAATGCTCTTTTTTTTTTTAGGTTTGATGTGTTTGATCTATGTTGTTTAATGGGTTCATGAAGTTAGTTTATGGATGGTTATGAGTGAGATTACCAAAAGTATGTGATCGGAGTGTGGTCGATTGGCTCCTGCATCAAGAGAGATGTCTTCGCTGAGCGAGAATGATCCTTTGTTGACTCGCGCCCATTTCGGATGTAAACAAGCATGAGTAGCGCGCCGTATGTGCCATGTTTATAATTCGGTTCCCCCCCCCGGCAGCAGCGCGATAACTATTGAATAGGGTGTGTAGGTGAATGCAGCTACTGGCCGCCGGGGATAGTAGGCGATCACGTGTTGATAAGCTTAAAGCTTGACCCTTTAATCCTTGGTGCCCCAGGCATAAAGGTGCCCACCCTGGCAAAGTGTTGGGCAATCAAAGCGCTCGAGGGCATCATAGGACTCTGTCTGAAATTGAATGAAGTTACTGGATTTACTGAGCTTGACGGACTGCCAACAAGCACGGGGACTTGACACAATCTACGCACCTTGCATTTTGTGGTACCTGCAGTGGCCGTCGCAATCTCAGCACGTTGGGATCAAACATCGTCTCTTCTAATTTCCCACAGTTTCTCATTAGGCTAAACTCATCACTGGAGTCAGCAGCATGCCCAACAGACAGGCCAACTGAGAAATGGCTTCATAGTGATGAAATGCGGGGGATCTCGCCAAGCTGCTTATCTCTTGGCACCGGCAAATGCTGATCCGTTCGGCTTTCAGAATGCGGGGAAGTCGCCGACAACCTCGTGTCTGTCAAAGGGGCAGAGGGGAAATGCCGGCGTATCCATGGTTGAGGCGGGGAACAGGAAAGGAGATGGAAGGAAGCAGCAGAGCTGCAGAAGAAGCATTTCCGGATGGCATTCCAATCACTGCCATATCTGTCACCGCATGGCGAGGCTGAAAAATGAGGTGCAGAAGTTTATTGGGCGGTAGTGAATGCAAGCAGCAATGATTCTCCCCGACTGACCCATGAACAGAGAAAAGACGCAAGGGACCAGTAGATCATTGGCAAGGATTACTCAGCCCCCGCACAGTATTACCCCGAGATCATCAGTTCCCAACCGTACGGGGTAGCTCGACTTCGCTGGCAGGGTTTTGTCCAGCTGTCCTCCTTTATTTCCCTGCTCTGTCTCTTTTGTATTCGTGTCGCAAACCACCTCACTTCCTCTACAACCCCCCATCTCAATCCAATGGACACTAAAGAAATGGGCGCCCAACCTCCAGCTCCCGACGAGAAACCACCTGGTTTCCACGACGCGGAGATCTCCAAACCCATCGCTGAGCACCTGCACCAGATCGACGATCCAGACGCTGTTCTGAGTGAGGCGGAGAAGGCCAATATCGTACGTACTCGTGCCTGTCTACTGTCAGGAACGTGCAATTGACACACCTCCCTCCAGGACCGCCGTCTACTCCGCAAGCTCGACCTGCGCCTCATCCCCTGGCTGTCACTGCTCTACCTGGCCTCGTTCTTGGACCGCACCAACATCGGCAACGCCAAGCTTGACGGGCTGCAGCAGGCGCTGAACATGAGTAATGCGCAGTACAACGCCTCGCTGACCGTGTTCTTCGTCTCGTATTCCGTCTTCGAACCCCTGACCAATGTCCTTCTGAAACGGACGCGCCCCAGCTTGTTTATTCCGACGATAATTGTCCTTTGGGTATGTCTCCGGAGAGTCAGCGTGGTGGTCCGTGAGATCAGCAACCCTTCCACGGTAGGCATGCGAATACAATCGACCAGTGACTGACGCATGCTCGAACCAACAGGGCATCTGCATGACAACCATGGGCCTGGTGCACAACTACGGCGGGCTGATCACGGCGCGATGGTTCCTGGGCCTCGCGGAAGCCGGCCTCTTTCCGGGCATCAGCTACTACCTGTCGTGCTGGTACAAACGCTCCGAGTTCGGCATCCGCATGGCGATCTTCTTCTCCGCCGCCGCGCTGGCCGGCTCCTTCGGCGGGCTGCTGGCGGCGGCGATCGCCAAGATGGACGGCGTGGGCGGCAAGCAAGGGTGGGCGTGGATCTTCATCCTGGAGGGGCTGGCGACCGTCGTCATCGGGGTGCTCTCATACTGGCTCGTGTACGACTTTCCGGACCGCGCGGCGTTCCTGAGCGAGGACGAGCGCAAGCGGGTGCTGCAGCGCTTGGCCGCGGATAAGCAGGCGAGTGGGCTGCGCGAGCACGAGTTCAAGACGGCGTACATCTGGGCCAGTGTGAAGGACTCGAAGACGTGGTTCGGGAGCGTGATCTACATGGGCGCCGACGGGGCGTTGTATGCGTTTTCGTTGTTCGTGCCGACTATCATTAATCAAATGGTGAGTTCATCCTCCTGCGGTGGGAGGATGGTGATGCTAACGCTGTGTTATATAGGGTATTTCCACCTTCCATCCCCAGTCTCACTGGCCCCAGCGGTTGGGAACTGACAAGAGACAGGCTACTCCTCGACCCGCGCGCAGCTCCTCAGCGTCCCGCCCTACGCCTGCGCCGCCATCCTGACCGTGAGCATCGGCTACCTCGCCGACCGCACCCGCCAGCGCGGCCTATGCAACATCTTCGTCTCGCTGATCGGCATCGCCGGGTTCTGCATGCTGCTGGGCTCGAAAACCGCCGGGGTCCAGTACGCAGGCGTCTTCCTCGGCGCCATGGGCATCTACCCCTGCATCGCCAATACGATCTCCTGGGTCAGCAATAATGTTGAAGGTGAGTGCCACAGCCCCAGCCACAGCGACATCCACTATGAAAAAAAACCCCAGCCCTTTCCCTCTGCCACTCTCTACGACAACCCATCAGCTAACTGAAAATCATACACAATAGGAGTCTACAAACGCGGCATCACACTCGGGCTCATGATCGGCTGGGGCAATCTGAACGGCATTGTCTCGTCGAATATCTACCGCAGCGAGGACGCCCCGCGCTTCTATCCGGGGCATGGCGTCGTGTTGGGGTATCTGGTGGTGTTCCTGTTTGGCGGGTCGGTGACGCAGTATATCATGTTGAGGAAGGAGAATCGACGGCGGCTGCGCGGGGAGCGGGATCATCGGTTGGAGGGGCTGGGGAGCGAAGAGCTGGAGGTGTTGGGGGATAAGAGGCCGGATTTTATCTACACTTTGTAGGCTCATGGATATGGTGAATGGTTGCCGGGAGGGGATGCTCTAGATGTGATGTGAATAGGTTTCGAATTTACGGGAGATGCTGTTTGACGCTGTTGCGGTAAAGTATCAAGGTTCAATTCCTGCAGGAAGGAGAAAATATGTGGAGTCTTTATCATGACTCTGGTGCAATACAACTATCCCAGACTGCCTGTTTCCACAGCCCCCAGACCTACTCCACGGCCCTCGCTTAGGATGACCCGGATCATCGAGCTGTGCTCTTGGCAATGAGCTTATCTACTCTCAGGCAGATGACGAGCGTGGGGCACCATCTGCTAGGGGATCGGAAATCAGGGTTTCTGCAGCAGGTGGAGATCGGAGGATGGGCTAATAAGCTTCTTTTAGGTTTTCTCCGGTCGAATTTTAAGTAGATGTTATTGGAGAGACTAACCGACTCACTCTCTGCTATCCTCTACTGTACTTGTTCAGGTCTGATTGGTGTGTTCCTTATCGGAAGGGTATCTCTATCTGGAATACAAACGTGAAACAAAAAAAGAAAAAGAAAAGGAAAGAAAAGTGGCCGCCGAGTAGGTCTAGAATCCGTCATGCCAGGATGTTCTTCCCTGGCTGCGCCACGAAAATCTGCCGTACGACGAGAGAGCAATTGTGTGAGGTTTGCGTGGGATATCAGGGCGAGCATAGTGCCGTCCTATTTGTGGACAAACTGAACTCCCTGGCCATAGGGATGAATTTTGCCCAAGTTTTCTCCAGCTTTCAGGAGATTCGCCGATCCAGTCGTCTAATTAGTGCCGAGGAATGCAAGTCACGTCCACGTCCATCACCCCTACTTTTCATACTTCAACCATAGTTCCAATGTTAGTCCACGCCAGCAACAAAGGAAAAAAAGCAGGTAACCGGTAGTTACCTTGAACAGTAGGGCCGAAATATCCTCCGCGTCTTCTTTATTGACCCGTGAAAGCAGCAGCTCCAGCATCAAGCGATACTCATTCGCCTCCGTGACCAGCTGATCCATCTCCCTGTCAACGCAGCCCGAATTAACCGCGGTGTCCATGTAGGTAATAAATATCCGACCGTCCAAGAAGGAAGGGATCATCCCTACCTCTGAATCCGCTCGCGCTTATGGGCCGGGTACCAGCATTGTTTGCCCAGCATGGCACACCGCTGACATTGGTTCTTCTCGCCGGTGCACTTGAATTTCCCCTGTCGACACGAGTTGCACGCCAGCGCGGCTCGGCTCTTCGGGGCGTATCCGCGTCCCGCCTGTCGCGGAATGGGTTTCTTGTTGCGGATTATGGTATGTGAGGTTGGGTTCGTGTTGGTGGTGGTGGAGGTGGAGGTGGTTGTGGTGGTGATGGCCGATCGGGGGAAGGGAAGGGGGAGGGGGAGGGGATGAGGGGAGGATTCTTCGGACGATTGGCTTTGTAGTTCAGGTGATGGCCGGGGCTCTGATTGTGGTTGTGGTTGTTGTTGTTGTTGTTGTCTTGGGAGTTGTCTGGTGTCGTCTGTGCCCCCCATTCCCACCCATTTGGGCGCTTCGTCAATGTAATTCAGGACTCGAGAGATTTCCATCACGGCCGATCGGGGGGAGATCGATCGTGTAGCAGATGTGTAGGTAGGCGGAGGGGGTGGGAAATTATGAGGTAAACCGGTTGAAAGTTAAGAGTCAGGTAGATAGGGGAAAGCCCACCAACAGCAGAGGGTGGGCACTATGGTCGACTTTTGTAGAATAGGCTGAGAGCAGAACGGGAACTCATCAAATGATTATTTCCGTACTTTGCCAGCAGCAGCCGCAGTAGTAGCGGTAGCAGTAGCGGTAGCAGTAGCAGTGGCAGTAGCAGTAGCAGCAGCAGCCAAGCCCTTCATTCCTTTACCTTCTGGGCTGAGAAGGAAGTGAACGATGGTGACGTAGTGGGTTAGGGCTCCCTTGCAGCCAACCACCAAACAGGTTTGGATAGACAGGACACTCGAGTCCACTCACTTGCATTCCACTGTCTCCACCCCACTTTACCCCCCCTAGTCTAGTTGTTTGGCTGCTCAAGGCAAGGCAAAGTAGGTTTGCCGGCCGCTTGGGGCTCCCAGGGCCTCGACCCTCGGTCGGTGCATTTTCCACCAGCTTGACTTGGCTTTTCCTTTGTTTGTGGTTTTGGGACCTGTACATCTGACCAAGCTCAGCTCACCCATCTAACCGGATTACCAGGAATTAAGATTGTTTCCAATTCCAGGTTTTTGATTCTCTTCTGCAGTGCTATGAAGGGAGTGAAGATGGTGGTTAAGTAGGACCCGACTAGCAAAACCTCCTCCCTTCGGGTTGAGCCGAATAAAGCCGATAGAAACCAACTAGAATGCTCGCTACCGGGAAAACACCTCCCCCCCTAGCACTCCCAGTGACGTAGGGTAGGGTAGCAGTGCAAACGTAAATTGACCCGTTGGCCCTCGGGACTATCTTCCTGGACCTCGAGTCGATAGGTTCCACTTCTTTCCATAGTTCTCGAAAAGTTGAACACATCCAGGGGCATGTGAGCAATTATTTTTCTTTTCTTTTCTTTTCTTTTTCCTTTCGTGCTGCCTTTGCGCCTGTGCTCTCAGTCCTCTTACCCCGCCGGTCTGTAGCCTACTCTTTCTCACTACTACTCAAGCGAGACATGCACGATTCGTATTTTTGGCGAGACTAGCCAGTGGAGGCGTTTTTTTTTTTTTTTTTTTTGGCGGTGTCATCTCCCACAATCAGAGACCGGTAAATCACGGATTCGATATCCGGGTCGGGGTTGCATGCAATTTTTCCAGCTTGGCAGTGGGTGCAAGTAGGTGTGGGCCTTGGCAGTTTCCGCGATCGGACTTGATGGCTTGGGAGGTGATGAATTATCCCTTCCGCGCCTCTGATTTGCAGATCTCCGGCACACCCCCCCAAAAATACCCTGGATGCCTCGTCTTACTTACATCCGATCGAGATTAGCTTTGAAGGGGGAAGAGGAGGAGGAATCCCCGGGGGTTCTATGTATCACAGCTTTGCTTTTAACCTGACTTTGCGACTGGTTCATCGCCCGGGGTTTAGGATCAGTACTTATGCTGATTACGGGGTACTTCTCCCCGAGTAACCTGTGGTGCAGAGCGGCTACCAGGGTTCAAGGTTCTAGGTACGCGCACCCAAATCCGGATTCCAGGGATGGCCGGGGACTTGTTGCTGGCCGCAAAACAAGGTCATTCGCATCGGAAGCTGCATGGTGGTAGCACATGCATCACAATCAGATCAATCGATGGGGGAGTCTACCGAGTACCGACCGTACTTTATCCCGGTTGATGGGTTGCTGTTGGCGGGAGGCTGCAACAGAATACTGACCCCGACCTCGGAGGCGGGTTGTTTACTTCCGATGTTCTGGTCGAGGGGCAGGCTGGACACATTTATCTGGGTCGGTCGCCATGCTCTGCTACACGCAACTCTGATTGAGTCAGCTGGGAATCTGGTGTTGCAGTGCTACAGAGATTCCATCCGGTGGTCTACAGTCCACCGCTTCAGCAACCGGCCGAACATGGGGGAACTCCGGCAATGCTGATAGGCGTGTTGATAGGTGTGCTGCAGAAATTTGGAACTACAAGTGGACTATCAGTAAACTACTGTAGACTGTACAGAGTAGGGTCTCTCGACTAGCCCCAAACTTGGACTTGGCTCCGAACTTTCCCCCCCCCCCCCCCCCCCCTCGAGAATGTCACCAGATGAGGTCAGCCTGCTGTGACTCAGCCGAGATTACCGTTGGGTTACTCAAGGCAAGCACACCCGGGTGATTCTCTTCAGTCTGGAAACCTCATTCCCATCAAAGGTCACCCGACTGATTGTGACAAGCCCGCAAAAACGACATATCTCACTCCATTGATGGTCCGCGAGATCGCAAACCCCCCGCCCCACACCAAGTTGAGACCTCCCAAGCGGGCCCTCCCTCCCCAACAGTTCAAACTCCAATCTCATCCACCTGGAAGAAGTGGAGTTTCCGGCAGATATTTCCGAGCTGCGGGCTCGCTTAGAAGGGGGTGATTGGCGAAGAACAAACAATAGAGTCTCCCACACTTAACGACATAGCTCACTTAGGAACATGTGTGGATGTTGATTTCCGGTGACGGAATGGTGCCCATGCGTGCCGACTGCCGACCAGTTCTGACCACTGCGGGAAGCGTGGTTGTCAGCACGGCCAGGTGTCATGGATGTTGCTCCGGATGATGTCAGTTCATTGCTTTGGGTCCTTTGGTGACGAAGGTGTAGTGGACCTTTGACCTTTGCTCCAATATTTCCACAGTTATATGGAGTACGTGCGGCAGTTCAGTTGCCGATGCTCTCGCAGATGATGATAACTTCAGACCCACCTAGAGGTAAATATGTCTCCCGCTGCTGGGTCATTGGCTTTGACTTCCACCCTGGAAACCTTTTCCGGGCTCAGGGCTTTACTCTGCATGCGCAGGATACATGCGATACGAGATCTGGATTTGTTGAGGAAAGAACTCGGGACTGGCCATAGTCTTCTGCTTCACAGAAGCCAGGACTTCGGGATAAAGAGCGAAGCGGTTGGTTGTTATGTAATGGCCTGATCAGGTTGACGAATGCCTCATGGGCTGTATTACTGGCTCGGTTTAGTCCATTAACTCGGCGAATCTTACAACTCAAGAGGGTCCCCTAAATCTGGGTAACTGTGCGCCTAGTCATCTAGCAGAGGATGGGAGAGAGGAGGGCCTCAAGTTGTAGGTCTGAGCCAAGATGTAAATGCTTGTTCGAAGAATCGCTCACACATGCCCTTGAAACACTCCAGCAAGCCCTGAGAGGAACAGAAATCTTTGCTGTTTGCCTTGCTTTATTCTGCTAGAACGATACTTAGGAGGCGCTTGGAGAGGTGCTCCAAGAGTTGTATCTACAAGTCCAAAATGATACATCTCAGTCCACATCTATATAAGTATCACCACAATGAGTAGTCCGGACCGCAGCACACCTTAACCACTACTTCTTTGGCATATATGCTCACTCATCCATGGAAGCCTCAGTTATATCTCGTATTGTTATACCTCGTACGATCAGCATTGAATTAGAAACGGTCTATCTATAACTCTGCAGAACTGAAGATGTTTTGCCTAAGGCCCACAACGTACTGCCGTGGCCAAGTACGGGCGGTGAAGGCGACCGGTGACCGGCGCCTGCCATTTTTGGAAACGTTGGCATGCGCGGGACTCGGATTCTCTCTCAGTCAACATCACCGTCATCTCGTTATGATCCTCCTCCTCCTCCTCCTCCTCCTCCTCCTCCTCCTCCTCCTCTTCTCCGTGGGTTGATTGATACCTACATTCTCAGCTCCCTGTTGAGTCTCTCCGCACCAACTATGAGTCCCACTTAATCTGAATCCACTCCCGTCGCTACCGATTTCCTTCTTGGCTAATGCTTACTTCTTCATTTATTCTGTGGCGTCAAATGAGCATTTCCAGCTCGATAGCACTTGCAGCAGCAAGCTGAACCCCTCAATGAGACGCCTTCTTAGGATGACGCTTCTGGCAAGAACGCGCATCCGTTTCAGCTGGAGGGAAGGCCGGAGGCGAAGGCGCGCAATAGATACAAACGCCTCGGATGATGAATGAATTCAGCATCAGACTTCCTCCCTCGACAAGATCATTCGCAATGAACCTTTTCCCACCTGCGTGATCAATCCCGCGCCGAACATTCACCGTCGAATCCTCCCGACTGGAGAACCTTACGAGCCACCATGACCGCAACCTCCGAACTCAGAGACGAGTACAACCTCCAGGAGGCGTGGGAGCACGTGTGCCGCTCGTTCGCGCAGACCATCAAGGCGGACCTGACGACCGCGCCCAAGTACACTATCGAGGAGGTCCTCGAGCAGGATCCGGGCCCGGGAAGCAGAGGACCTCGAAAGGAGCGCCAAATACAAACAAGGGAAGGCTGTGATCGACAAGACGCTGGCGTTCGTGAAGGTTATGGACGGTATTGTTGCGCAGGGCGCGAGCATGGTACGTCGCCGACGCCCCAGCGCCGAATGGTTCACACAATGTGTTAAGGTGCTCTTTTCTTCTTCTTCCTGGCACAGGTGTTCGCGCCCAGTAGTCTCTGTTTCAACAACGCTATCGCCTACCTGATTGATACCGGGGCCATGTACAAGCGCGTCTTTAGCAGCCTGGCTGAGCTGCTCCGGAAGATCTGTGACCTGCTGGACCGCATGCAGATCTACATGCGCCTACAGAGCGACGCGGTGGATGTCGTCCTGCGGAAGATCCCCAACGAGCAATTGCTGTGCTTTGTGGATATCTGCGCCCTGTCAATCAAGGTGCTGCAGGGCCATAAACTTCTTATCGCCCTCAAGGCTTTTGCCTTCAGTGGCGATGAAGGGGTCAGCGCGCAGTTGGCTCGGCTGGCGACCCTCGGCGAGCGCGAATCCCAGATGCGCGCAACCCTGGGCTTCTAATCGCAGAAAGCAAGTGAGTGGCGGATCAAAGAGAGTTCAGAGGGGACCAAGATGATAAGCACCGCTGTGGACAGGCTCCTAGATTCAGAGCAAAAGAAGGATGCTGCTATTGTGGAGGGCAAGACCTTGCATGATCTCGACATCGCTCTCGGCAACCCTAGTGAGGGCAGGCGTGCTCATCAGGCCACGCTGAGGAATCTTTTGAATGAGAGGCTGGTGGGGACCGGAGACTGGCTTTTGGACAATCCGATTTACACATCCGGACAGGTGTCGAGCAAGAGTCGTTTCCCTAGTCGGCATCACTGGGAGTGAAGGATGTGGCAAGTCCTTCCTTGTGGCGCACATCATTAATCACCTTCGGACGATCTACTTGAATGGTGACGATAGACTGAGACCGATCTCAATTGCTCATCATTTCTTTGTCATGACAAAGAGACGCGGTCGCTGATCCGCGCTCTCAAGGTTATTTCGTGGCAAATTGCAAACGCAGACACCGTGTACCGCAAGGCTTTGAGCTCTATCGACATGACGAGCACCAGTAACCTGGAAACTCTCTGGGGTATGCGACCGACTCGTCCGTCTCCACTTGTTGGATGGGCTCGAACAGTTAGACAAAGGGGATGTGGGGGAACTACTTGCCCTTTTGGCCAAGACACACTGCGTCTGCGAACTGGGGAAAGTTTCAGCTCCATATCCTCCTGACGGGTCAGGAAGAGACCATGAGTTGGGTCAGAAACCATCTCGGGGCGAAGATATCGGTCATTGATTTGACAACAAAGAACGCCAACGACATGAAGAAGTTCATTGAAAGTCGGATGGACCGGCTGGATATTTTCGGTGGTTCGTCGGAACAAGTCGCCTCAATGCGCCACGAGACCTTGGAAACCTTACTGCGAGAGACCCAAGGTGACTTCGTCAGCGCTGGCTTGTTGTTAGACGAAATCAGCACTAAACAACGTCCCGGCGAGATTCGAGACATTTCGGCTCGCTCGAGACACAGTCGCGAGGACATTATGAGGAAGATAGACCGCTGAATGCAACCCTTGGCAAGGAGGATATCGCCGAAGTTAATGAACTTCTCACCTGGGCCATGTTCGCTGCGAGGCCGCTTACTCTTGGGGAGCTTGAAAGCGTTCTGTCTCTCAGATGCCGTGAACAATCGCTGAGACCACTATCAAAGGTGATTATCGACCAGTATTCGTCTCTTCTTCGGGTCGAAGGCAGATTGAATGGCGCAAGCAAGGAGTTCGACCTCAAGTCCCGTGTACTGTTGGCGTCGGACCCAGTGAAACACTTCCTGGATGCACCAGTACAAGGTGGTACAGGCATGGAATCCAAGGTTTGGAATGATGTTGAGGCGGTCAACGAAAGCGAGGTGCGAATTGTGCGCCGATTCTTGGAGTTCGTCTGCGATGCTAGCCTTTTCCACAGATCTGGTTTTGAAGGCTTTTTTGTGACGAAGCTAAGCAGAAGCTCTCCCAAGGTCCGTGTCGATATTAAAAGTGCGCATTATAAAATCCTGAAGGCTTGCTTGGAGGCTATCTGTTCGCTCGACAGGCCCAAAATGGACTTCCTGCTGGATTATGTAGTTGAGCTTTTTCCTGATCACCTGGAGCAGTGCGACCTTTCATCAGTATACCCACAGGACAATATGTCTATAGGACCTTATCTAGTGGCACTGTTTGATGATGTAGAGACTAACAAGCGATGGTGGTTGACTGGCTATTCGTCCGTGAGAAAATCACGGCAGGTCTGGTTCTACAAGGATACATACGCCGATCTTGTCATGAGATGGCTACAAGACTTTGCTGTCACTAAGAATCTCACGGGTATCCAGTCCAGGTGGGGTGCAGAGGCTGATCTATAAGTTCGAGCCCGACGCCGATATTATCGAGCAGACAGCTATTCATATAGCGGAAGTCTGGCTTAAGACAACTGATGTTATGGAATTCATGCACTGGTACTTCCCTTCCGTGTATGGGTGGTTTACCAAGGCATGTCTAAGAAACAGCATACAACCATTCAACGAACGATGCTAAGCGATTGCATAGATCGAGAATTGTAAAGACCTGCTATTCAGGCTCTCGAGGCCACAATTGAAAGAATTGCTGCTGAAAGCGACAAGATGCCGGAGGGATCCTCAGGCAAGAGATGCTTATCGCTTTTGGAGCAGGATCTGGCTTCTTGGTATGAGGCGGCTGGTCACGAAGCTTAGGCCCTCACAGTGTACAAGGATCTTCTCGATGAATATCCGGGCGAATACGACCCGCTTGGCGGACTGTTATCTGGCACTTTGAGATCGCTGAGGCTAATTCCAGCCATAGTACAGCCTCGCCTAAGGTACAGTACATATTGTACGCATACTTAGAAGTGGCTTGGGTACCCGCTCAATCGAAGCAAGTGGCTCACTCCATATTCTATTTCTGTTTAGCCATAGCTGAGAAAATCGTGCTCGTGATTGACCCAACGTTATTTGAGCAAGCTCGGGTTCGTGTTGCTGCTATTGTCCGGTACGCCGGCCAGCCACTTTAGTTCATTGGTGGTGTCGTATATCTTCCATGGTTCCGGCCGCGGAGGCAATGCACCCTGTCACTATTTTCATCCACACAAGCCGTTTGGAATAAGCTTTCCCCGGATTTACTGGGGCTTCTGGCGCAAATAATTTTAGGTCAGTGGGCTCAGCCCGGGGCACTGGTGAGTCCATCCATGGTTGGCTGACGGCTATCTTCATTGTTTGACCTGCGTCCTGGATTGAGCCTCACTATTTACTATATGGTCTGGAGAAGCATAGCCTCTCTCTGCTGAAGATATAGCTTCTAATATGAAGATTATATCTATATAAACCTCAAAGGATTCACGACAACTCCGGCTTGACATCCTCACAACAACAGCAAGTACAACAGCAAGTACAACAGCAACAACAACAACATTCAAGTCTACTTTCAATCGTTCAATTCCCAAGTCAAACTACCTCTCTACAAGACCAGCCATCACAATGTATACTTCAGCATCCACGCTCGTCACCGTCGCCTCGTTCGGACTTCTTGCGCGAGCTCTGCCCACCGCTCGCTCGCGCAACGAAGTTCCAATAACGTTCTACGCGGCTGGGGGTGTGCAACTCACCCAGAGCTTTCCCACCGATGGAGCTCCTATCGCCATTAGTATGACAATCTTTGTTCATTACCCAGTACTTCTGCTTTATGATCTGTGACGACTAACACCTTGATCCAACAGACAATGGACTGAGCATCTCTCGTATCTCATCCAGCACTGCAGGCGTTACCTGTGTCTTTTCCGGCATAGACCACAGCAGCACCACTGTCCCCGGCGCCGCGACAGTGGACGTTGGGCCACCGCAAGTGCAAACCCAGGGCTCCTGCTTTGTGAGCTACGCTCCATCATCGGACCCAGCGAGCTCGTGGGTGCCGTCACCCTCCGCCACTCCGCCAACCCTGATCCAGCCCGATGACGCGTGGACAGTCTGGGCCCAGGCGACAGAGACCCCTTCCGTCTGGCGTCGGTCTGGTGCACACTTGTCTCCTCCGGGTCAGGACTCTGGTGATGCGCCAGATCTGGAGGTTGAGGATCCGCCTACCCCAGCTCCGCAGCCGGTGGAACCGGAGGAGCCCTCCACCACTACCCCCGCTCCTGAGGAGATCACTGCACCGCCGCCTTCGACGGAGGAGCCGGTTATCACGGACCCGTTGCCTGGTGATTCGACTGCGCCGTTGACGTCTTCGTGTTCGACGACCCCTTCCCCTGTTGTTACCTGCACGACGACTCCACCGCCTGTAACATCATCAACCATGACTCCGTGCCATGAGTGCGAATCTACCACGACACCACCGGCTGTGACGTCCTGCACTACGACTCCCTCTCCCGTGACCTCGTGCACCACCACCACCACTCCGTCGCCTGTGGTGTCGTCGACTACGACGCCGTGCAACGAGTGCGAGTCTAGTCCCACTCCCTGTGTTGACTGCAAACCGACCCCTCCCCCATGTGATGATTGCAAACCGATCCCTGCTCCGTGTCCCGAGAAGCCTTGCGTCAACGAGACCTGCTCTGATGACAGCTGCCACAAGAAGCCTTGCCCGGCGAAGCCCTGCCATGATGAGACCTGCCCTGACGGTGACTGCCCCGAGGGACCCTGCACTGATCCATTGCCCACTCCAGTTGAGTGCCCCGACGATGAGTGCGCCGAGCACAATCGTCCCCCATACACCCCAGGGTACCCCTCGGAAGACCACATCGAGATCAACTTCAACGGAGAGGTCAACGCCGACTTCGCCGAGTTTACGCAGTAATGCCTTTCCTTGACGGATCTGGTCTTTTGACAGCGTGTTTGAAGTGTCGACCGCGGTGAACGATAATGAGGCCAGATATTGGACTTTGGACCGACCCAGATACAAGTTATGGGACCTACACTGCTACTGCAATGTTTGGTGGTTTACAGGTTGAAAGCGCGAGGAGTCTATGGAGTTGATGGTTTGGATGGAGATGATTGTCCCCGGCTTTGTATTTGATCTGCTTAGCTGTTCCTCGTGCTATGTTTATTGGCTTTCCTGGTCACGTTGTGCTTTCGTTTTCGTTTTCTATCGTTTTCTTTCTTATGCTTGGTCGTTGCAGTGGATCTTCTACACTATGTTTACATCCTTGTCTTTGACATACAGTACAGTTGCGCAGGTATTCAAGGTCTTTCTGGTGCATACATACGTCGCCACTACTGTTCATGTATATAATAATACAATACAAGGATTACTTGCAATCATGTTACCTCTTACATGGCATCGATTTTCAATAGCCTCCTTCGTCATAGAAGCTCCGTCTCTGGCATCGGCATATATAGGGAGTACTCATTGGATCTAATCACATTGCGCATGCTTATCTTATCGCTTCGGCGCCGAAACTCGATGCGAAACCAGTTGATCCACTTTGGGTCTTCGGCGCCGAATGACGTTAACTTCACCGGGCCGGGAACGCCGAGCCAGGCGCGATAGGCAGTAAACGTATCTGATGTGTGGACAGGGGGATAGGAATCGCACCTTGTTACATGAGTGTATTGTTACATCATTGCTTGGGTAGCTCATTGCATGGTTAAGTGCACCGAATCCACAGCGTAAACACCTACCTAGCTAGCACAATCACCCTACTGATGATAGGGACATTGAAGTATACATAGATCACGCGAATGAGTGGAGACAAAACACCAACAATACTGTCCATCACACAGCGAAGACAAACATATCCACTACACCATCTACAAGGAGTCCAACTCAAGCCCTCACCACCACGCCTAACCCCGTTTCACCCACCGCCACAACCGCGATACATCCACCCCACCCCACACCCGCACCCCCCAATACAACCCCATCGCCGCAACCACATTAAACCCGATGTACACCCACATGAGCCCAAAATTCCGCCAGCGATCCGCATACTCCGCCGAGAGCTCGGTCAGGTACACGTTCGAGTCCGTCATTTGGCAGTAGGCGCAGTCCCGCGTGGCCTGCGGGTTGGCGAGGGCGCCGCCGGCCAGCTGCATGTACGCGGCCAGATAGCTGCCGCAGGTCTGGTTGGCTGAGGGCTGGACCGTGATCAGTTCCAGGTCGGAGCATTGGACTTCCGTGTTGGCGAGGCCGGTCGAGAGCATGCCGCTGACCAGGTAGGTGAGCGGGGAGACGCGGTACATGAAAATCCAGAAGCCCGGGAGGGCTGCGGGGGAGGCCAATACACTATGACATGGGAAGTGGGGTTAGTCGGGCTGGTATCAAGGGGAAGGACATAGGCATTTAGGAAGAGGAAGCCGGGGGGGAGGGACAGACTCACCCGCAGAAAATCAAGCACATGCAGAACAGCAGCAGCGCCAACGTCGCGCCCACCTCGGCCGTCGCCACGCCTGCCACCATCATGATCGTGAACGTGCCGCAGTGCATCAGGAAGGACCAGATGAGCAGGAACATCAGCCCGCCGCGCTCGCGCGTGGCGTGCGTTTCCTGGGCGTTGCGATCCATGCCGATCAGATAGTAGAACGGGAGGTAGATCAGCACCGCCGCCAGCGAGTTCCAGGGCAGGTCGGCGAAGATGTTGGCCAGCATGAAGGCCGACCAGGCGTAGGTCTTGGCGGGCCGTTCGCGGACCTCGTACAGATCGCGCTGCTTGATGAAGTTGGGCATAGTCTGGTAGGCCAGGAAGGCGAAGATGACGAGGAGCATGAAGATCGCGTACGTCTGGTGCTGCAGGCCGAGGATGGTGATCTTGGTGTTCAGGAAGGAGAGGCCGATGAAGAGGGCCTGCGTCGGTCAGGATGAGAAACGGGCATAAAGAGGGGTAGAGCGTGTGGGCTTACCGCGCCAAAGCAGAGGATGAGCTTCGCGTAGATGTAGGAGGGCGTTCGCCAGTACTGCTCCATCACTCGCTGGGTACACAGTTGGAGCTGGGTCAGAAACGGGGCCGCGTATTGCTGGTTTGAATTGACTCCAGAGCTTTGCGTCGAGGGCTTGCGCTCCTCAAGTCGCTGCAGCTCTTGTCGCACCTCCTGGTATTCACGACTCCCCTTCCATGTGGCTGGCCAGTCGTGCGTGGATTGCGTGCCAGGTGCTGCCCCGATCACTTCTAGCATCCATTCAGCCGGATTCTCTTCTCGGGTACACAGCCTGGCACCGTGTTGTTCGAAGTAGCTGGTCAGCACCTGGGAGTTCTGTCCTATCGGTCCGAAGTAGACCGTGCGACCGCCCTTGGCCAGGAGGAGTAGACGGTCGAACTGTTCGAAGAGAATGGCTGAGGGTTGGTGGATAGTGCATAGGATCGCCTGCCCGTGGTTGGATAGCTTGCGTAGTAGCAAGGTTATCGACCAAGCAGTCTGGCTGTCCAAGCCCGAGGTTGGTTCGTCAAGGAAGACCAGTAGATCGGGCTTTGCAGCGAGTTCCACCCCGATAGTCAATCGCTTCCTCTGCTCAACATTCAGGCCCTCACCGGGAACACCGACGACTGCATCCGCGTATGGCCGCATTTCCAGCAAGTCAATCACCTCCTCGACGTACCGATACTTGTCCGCTTTGCTCACCGAGGCAGGCTGTCGGAGCAGGGCACTGAATCGTAGCGCTTCGCGAATAGTACTGGTCTCGAGATGGACGTCCTGCTGCTGAACATAGCCTACCCTTCTCTGGAACGAGGCGTCGCGAGGGACTCCATTGACAAAGACTTCCCCGGACACCACCCCGGTCTTGACTCTGCTGGCAAGGAGATCGAGGAGCGTGGTTTTACCCGCGCCTGAGGCTCCCTAGATGGTTCGGAATATCAGTACCGGCTCAATTGGATACTAACTAGGACAGATCCTACCATCAATGCAGTTAGTGTCCCGGGTGTCACCCATCCGTCAATGTGGTCGGATATGCGGCGCATCTCGCCTTTGATCGGTACATCGTAGCACACATCTTTCCAATGAAGGGTGTTGGATTGGAGTTGGAGGTTGAGCTCACGGTCAGATACCGCAACATGGTCGACTGTCGTTGCGGCCTCGCTCTTGCCGGTTTCCTCGTCATGGCTTGCATGTCCGGTGGCACTGGTTGCTTGTGACTTGCGTTGGAAAATGAGGACCTCGCCTTTGGAATGGTCGAATATCACAAACTCTGCAATCACTAGGTACATCATCATGAAAAAGAGGATGAAGGCAATAAGGATGCCGAAGTTCCTGGTCATAATCCAGTCAGTACTGTACATGGATCGCCTTGAAGGGCATAGTGAACACATACCTCCATGTATGCGAGAAGTAATAGCTATAGTTGGCCGCCACGTAGGCATCACCGCTGACCAGGCTCGAGGTGGTCGACGCACCGGCCACGGCACACGTTCTGTACTCACTCGCAATGTCCTGATATCCTGGCCCCGAAGGCACGAAACTGGCACACTCGAAGTAGCGGCCGTGGAACTCGTTGGCCACCAGCGTCTCGTACGAGTACGCGATTGGGTTGATGTAGTTAATCCACCGCAGCCAGCCCTGCATGTTGCGGGTCGGTAGCACAAAGCCCGTGTAGACCACCAGCGCGAGGACGCCCAAGGCGATAGGCGTAAGCGCCTGCGGGATCGTGCGCGTGGACTGGGCAATCGTTCGGAAGATCATGGACATGGTTAGGGTCGTCATGAAAGCGAACAACAGGTAGATTACCACATGGTCGGAGTCGCGCCGCAGGTTGGACATGTAGTATAAGGGGATGTTGAAGCCGATGGTGGAGAGCACCTTGCTGGGCAAATCGCAGATCATGGATGCCACGGCTTCGGACATCGGGTGGTAGAAGGCGTAGGCGGCATGTTTCTCGACGATGGGTCGTTGAGCGTACAGCGCTAGGATCTGGGGACTATGTTAGCGGTTGCTGATCAGGTTGCCAAGATGTACTCACTTCTAGAGCGCTGCTCAGAGCATTGAATAGCACGGCGAAGAACAGAAGCACGCAGCGATCGACGAAGCTGGCGCTCGAGTCTTCTAGGTCGTAGAACACACTGCCCAGGACCAGGGAAAGGAAGAAATTCCCCAGCACAGTAACAAAGAAGAACGTTGAGTCGCCCAAGACTCTGCGGTAGCCTCTTCGTATGCACAGTAGCACTTGCTGGGGAATCGATATGGTGTAAGGTGAGCTTGGGGTCCTGTAAAGTCTACTTAAGCTTCGAGCAATTTTGTTGCTACTGCGTGACGCTTCTTACATCAACCGAGATCTTTCCGCCTTCTTGGAGGCCGCGAACTTCTCAAAAACAACCTCTGCGTCATGTTGTTGGTTGAAGTGGTCGATCTCCTTGCAAAGCTCAGTATTCAGTTGACTTTGTCTCCAGGCTTCAGCGAATTCGTCGGGTGTTCTGGGCACTCGAGCTTCGAAGCCGGGTCGAATAATGCGTTCCACGGGGTTGGTCAATGAGGTAAGGAAGTCTCCTGTCGTTTGTCGGTCAGGACAAAGATAGCCCATGTCAATGAAGTACTGCTTTGCTCGATCTACCGGGCCAAAGTAGATCTGTCGACCTTCATAGAGTACTGTCACTTTGTCAAAGCACTATGCACGGTGTGTAGGGTGCAGTGGTCAGCTTGACAATTTTCACGCAGAACACTGAGGGGAAGACACACATCGTAGGCCTGTTGCGAAGCCTGGTAGAGAGCAACCACAGCTGCAGTACCGGTCATCTTGACGCCCAGTCGGACCGTTTGAATAAACTGCAGCGCGGTGGCGCTGTCCAGCCCACGGGAGCTGTTGTCCCAGCATTGGATACAGCTTTGTGTCAGGCATGTTTCCGCAATGCTGACACGCTTCCTCTCTCCGCCACTCACCCCGCGGATGAAATCATCCCCAACCTTGGTGTTGATGGTGTGTGAGATACCAAACACCGCCATAACTACATCGCGGAGGTGAGTTGCATAGGTTTCCCGGGATACACCTGGGAGCCGGTTCCGAGGGGTTTTGGCTAGAGCTGCGTACAACAGCGTCTGTCCGACTGTAAGATGCGGGAAATGAACATCTGTCTCGGCCTGGTAAATCACATCCCCGCGAAATTTGCGATGCATTGTCTTCCATGGAATGCCTTGTTGCAAGGGGAGGGTTTCTGTCAGTCCCCGCTCGAAATGTGATGGGGTCTGGCCTACCTTCATAACGGAGCTCTGTGGAATCTGCCACCGATAGTCCATTAGTATGGCCTGCAATGGTTTTCAAGAGGGTGGATACGCCACTGCAGGTACGAAATCGAGTCAGTCAAAGCCAATCAAGCTGTCACTCGTACGGTCCGATAGTACGAACCTTCCTGGCTTTCCTAGGACTAGGAGCATCTCGCCGCTGCAGACAATGCCATCGTGTTCTCTCAAAATCCGTACCTCACGTCTTCTTCCGGGGACCAAACCGACCATCAAATCCCTCAACCCCTGCAGCACGACGTTCGCAACAGTTGGCTGGTAAGCAGCGCCACCTCCGTATCCACCCACGCTGAGATGACGGTAGGACACACCCGCTTTGCGCTTGGGGTACCGCTCAGGATCCTGCGAGGTCAATTCAACTAAGGCCTGCACCCATCTCTTGGCGCTGAATTTGGGAGAGTTGGGATCCAGGCACGTATCCTCTGCATCTGTGAAGGGATTGATGGAGGACCCGTGCGGCCACTCATGTACTGAGTCTTGCGTGAAGCGTCTTGCCAATTTGAGGATTTGGCGCTGATTTTTGGGAGGTATCTGCGTCGGCTCGGCTTCATCTTCCACGTTAGCTGTCCGATCAGTAGACGAGGTCGACGCCGACCTGCTGGCATGGGTGGCCTGCCCAGGTAATTCGGGTATTGTAGCTGGGTCGAGCATTGTGAAGGGCAACAGAAGAAACTAGGGCACGGAGTCTCGCTCGGTTGGTAGGGTCGCCGAGGAACAGAATTCTCCAAGGCTGGCAGGTATGGGGGTTTTGAGGATACCAGGCTCTATGACAATTTATATCACAGTCAGCACAACACTACATCATCAGCATGTGACTCAAGGGGATTTCATCTATCCTACTGGGCGAAAATGTAGCGTAGTGCTGTACCCGACATGATGGACGGCGCCGACGAGTGACTAGCGTCGGAGGTCATCGGAGCGGAAGTTAGGGCCAGACGGCCCCGGGCATCGGAGCTCGTCGGCGGCGAAGACAGCAACGCAATAAGGGGCCGATACTGCCGATACTGAAAGCAACCTTTTTCTCCTCCTCTGCTTCCACATCGACCGCGTATCTGCGCATGTTTGGTGCCATGGAGATGATGTCAGCGGCGTCATCAAGCTCTGCCGCGCTGCACAAGGCGTGCGACGCCTGTCGGACCCGGAAAACGCGATGCAGTGAGTGTGGAACTCTTTGAGTGTCTTCCGCTTTGGCTGATTTTGCCAGGTCTCTCAGGCACCAATGCCACGTGCGATCTCTGCCTGGTAAGCCAGGCCATCATCCCTGCAGCCTTCATGGGACTGTATTGATAGACTGCAGTCGCAAGGGCGCCCCTGCTCCTTTACGCCAGTGAAAAGACCCCGCAAGCGAAAGTATGAGTCGGAAGGTAGTCTGCGCTGAATTGATGATGGATCTGAGACCCAAACCGGGCTGATGGTGTGCACTAGCTTTGACATCTCTTGCGGATACAGATATCACGTCGTTGTCCTCGGGCACCGGCAAGCTGTACATGGACTCTCTACTTGTGAATCGACAGGCGTCTCGTCACCTACGAGACTCTGGCCATCCAGACCAGGTGATTGGCATGAGCAGAAGCGCGAGCTGACGAAACACCCTAAACTAATTGTGCTTTTGTAGCTCACCACGATTTCCGGGTTCAATCCTAATATCTCGTTCTTCCCTGCCAAACGAGTCAAGGCGATCAACGAAAGACTGGGGCATAACCGACTAGACCAATTACTCGAACAGATCCGCGCGCTCGTATCAACAAAGATCAAGACCGCCTGTGCCATTCCGCAGTCTTATATCCAGCGGCGGCACTCGCTAAGCCAGAGCCACCAGTTTCCTGATTGGGCCAGCATCCAAGCTCATATCTCCGGTTAATTACTATCCACTTCTATCAGACCTTCTGCCCTGTACTGATGATGAGCAGCCTATTTCGAAGCCGTTCACCCGGTCTATCCGTTTCTGTCCCCCGACACATTCCGTCAGAAAGCCACAGCTGAGGACCTGCCGCATCTGCTTGCTGCTGACCGCGCTTGGGCGGCATTGTTCTATGCAATTGTTGCCATTGGATGCCAGAACAATGAAGGAGGCAGCTTTGAGGTTGGTGTGGGTGAGGCATGGCAATACTTCGAGCGATCCTTGTCATATTTTCCAGACTTGGTGTTCGGTCGCGGTTCATTGACTGGAGTTCAAGTATGCGTCTCTGCTGTCTCAAGGGAAGAATGACACTAACATGAATCCTAGGCGCTCATGGCTATGGTATGATACTTCGGATAATCAATCATTCCCCTATATCTAAGGTTTACTGCAGGCAATCTTTTCATCCACCGTGTCTGCTTTCCAATTCGAACCCCTCATGTTGTCAGAAGCCAGCATGATGGCGCAGGCACTGGGCTACCACCGCTCGAACGGGGTGCAAGAAACAGCTCACCGGCGCACCTTCTGGGTGCTCTACTATCTCGAAAAGACTTCATGCTTTGGCACGGCAAGGAACTCAGTCAGTCATTTCATGCCAATCGACCTAGCTAGTTTTCCTATACTCACACCAGCCAAACAGGTTATCGACGACTCCAACATCAGTTGCGCCATTCCAGACGTGCTAGAATCTTCCTTTGGCGACTACGACTGGTTCTTCTGCTTCATCAAGTACGGCCGTCTGGTCTCGAAAGTCCACCAGTCGCTCTTCAACGTCAGCGCCGTGAGCCAGCCCTTGCATACGTACAACTTCACCGTCAACAGTCTACGTTCGGAGCTAGAGACCTGGCGTCTGGCGATCCCCGCCCGATTCCGGCCGGGCGAGGTCCCGAAACCTCGTCTATTGCGTGAGCCATTGGCTCTCAAGATCGCCTTACTCACGCACTACCTGTACTTCCACGCTCTTCTCGCCCTATCGTGGACCATCCTCCATGTAGGAACCGCTCGGGTCGCGGCGGCGCAGCAGGACGTTCTGAAACGAGAACTGTTGCGCACGGCGAGAAGTGTTCTCGAACTGACGGCCTTCATCGAGGTTGCGCCCTCGACGCCTGTTTGGTGAGAGTTTCTGCACTCAAGGTCGGATGTATGGTACTGACACAAAATACACTAACGGTAGGATCCTGGCCGTCCTCCCGCTCTCCGCCCTAATGTTCCTCTTCGACCTCGTCGTGCACAACCCCACACACGCTGAAACCGGACTCAGTCTCGCCCTCCTAGACATGGCCGGCGGGCACTTCAGTCGGATTGAGTACGCCAGCAAAGGAGCACTTCCAGGTTCTCTGGTGGCCGAGTTCGCCCACCTCGCCCGACAGTACGTGTCGGACGTTAGGACTGGCAAAACGCAGGCGGGCGGCGAAATTATCCGCACGCGGAGGTCTGTCGAGAAAGGAGCAGCAGCAGCAGCAGCAGCAGCGCCCGTCGTCACTGAGGGAGGGGTGCTGGCATCGACGACCGCCCTTCGTGTCCAGGTTGGCAATCCGTTGATGGATGCCAATCGGCCCCGGGAGACCGAGCTCGATCCGACGGCGCCCGTCCAGCCCTGGAGTCCGGCCTCGTTCGACCCTATCTTCTTTCCGCTGCTCGATGATCCGAGTTATGCGCTGGATGACGTGCAGTGGTTGGGGATCGATGTTATGGGGCTTTTTGATCAGTTGTATTGAGATGCGTAGAAGCCGTATTCGGCGAAGCCATTGTGTTGATCAAGATGGAGTTGATCTAACAGATTGAGCACAGGGTAGTACACCGTGATAGTAATGTAGACTATAAAACCAACCAAAAGAAATGTTATATAACACATAGAAGGTATATTACCTCCATCGTTTTATAATAACCTAAAAATGTATGACCTGACTTTGTTTGAGAATAAAAAGCAAAAACAGAAAAAGGATGTACAATCTGTGAATAAAAAGATCGGGGGATAGATAGATCGGTAGATACTAGGTATTTGGACAAAGATATATAACTTAAAAAGGCGCGCAGGATGGCGGGCTGGCGGTAGGCAGCGGGACTAGTAGCTCGACCACGCATTTAAACTATTAATGGTGTTTGTTTAAGTGTTTGATTACCTACAGGGTTAGGCCATTTCATTCACAGCAGTTTGGATCATTGCTTGAGTCTGGGATCTTGCAAGATATGCAGTGGTAAGGTTAGCGATTGTTGACAACTGGCTGGCTTGGTCGAGGGGAATCTCTGCCAGTCCACCCTCGCAGTTGAACCTGAAGTACGACAGCTTCGGTAACAGCCGCGAGACTTGCTCGAAAAAACGGTGGGTATTCTGCGTGTCCGTCGCGAGTGCAATAGTGTTTCGAAACAAGTTCACCAGGGGGAACCTGTTCCAGAACCGCCACCAACTATTCCGTGCCATCTCCATCTGAGCCGGGGCTGGTTCTCCGGTTCCAATACTTATAATGCAGATGCGTGTGGTGTCTCCAATGCCCATGGACGATCTCTGATCCAGAAACGTCATGATGGGGTTATTGAAGCCCAAGCCACCGTCCACATAATAGTCCAGTGCACCAAGCTCGGCGGGAGGAAAGTAGGTGGGTGCAGCGCTGGTGGCTAGGGCTGCTTCCCAGACAAGGCGATTGGCTTGTCCGTTTGCGAAACAGGCAAAGCACACAGGGAGGTTGTTGGTGATGAGTCCAAGACTGTCTGAACGGCGGCAAACCACGTAACTATCCATGGAGTTCTCAGTATATCACGTACTTCAATTGAGCGGATGAAGCGCTTGCCAGTTGCAATGAGTAGGGTTTTGCATCTGCGTAAAAGTGCCTGTGATCAGCTGGATTTGTTGCCGAAGCAGTCCCTGGCTGAACCGCGATCCAACGAAAAGGCTGATAAGGGCACTTGGATCGAAATTCGGTAGGATTGTACGTCGTCGGAACACAGTGTTGGAAACACCACGGAGGTTGTTGATGCATGCCCGCATGGTCATGCCATATTTCTTTATCATCAATGCGCTTAGGCTATTGTTTGTGAGAAGCGGACACTTGAATCGATTCTCATTTCTCTCTCTCGACTTACCCTCCGCCGCTGGTTCCAAAAGCGACATGAAATGCATCGCCTGGCGGCTGGTCATCTGCAGCGAGCCCGTTTGTAATATTATATTGACGCACTATTTCCTCGAGGATAAGGAGAGAGGAGAGGCTGCGCACACCGCCCCCATCTAGGCCCAGTGTTGTTAGTTTTATCCGGCACGAGGTGAAGCAAAGAGTCGTACCAAGCGAAAGGCAATTCTTTTCCGCCCGTAAATTGGGGCGTGACATTGTGCGGATCTTTGCAACGAGTAGCCCGGTATCACCTGCCCTGATTTGGGTTATGAAGATGCTAGATCACTGTACTGTACTGCCTTTCCTCGGGCTTATAACCCCCTCACCGAGTCAGACCCGTCATGTGCACGGTATTATGGTCTCACACAATCACCTACATGGATCGTCGCTTCACGAAAACTTACCATAGCTTTCACCAAGCCATCATAATGGAGATAGAGTTCATTCGAGTTTTAAACGTTCTTCGCGTCGTTTTAGCCTACCCAGAAACCAAATGGGCAAGTGATTGTATAATCACAATCTTTAGACGTGGAACTAGTATCAGCTGGTAGCACAATGGGGTAGAGCAAGACGTAGGTGAAGGAGCTACAACATCACGGCAAAGTAGGAAGCAATACAGTCGACGCCAAGGGAAACAATACGGGGGAGACAAAGGAACATTGCGCCGAAACCGAGATCTCGACCCCAGCATGGATGGTTGACAATAATAGATCGTGTCTAGAACTATTATGTTCCGGGTGGAAGCGTCAAATGGTCCCAAGGTTGGACAATCGTTTAGGGTTGCGAGTGGAAGGGACATAATGATGCAGCCCTTGGGCGACAATGGATTATGTAATTAGTGACGTACGTTTGGCTCGACTGTTATCTTATAGTTGCCATTTCCACTGCATATTTCCATCGACAGAGATAAGGAAGTCCATCGTATTGCCAACCCTGTGGTTCTCAATATGGCCTGGCGCGTGCTCTCGTTGGGTAAGTCCGGACACCCTCGCTCTCAGATCTTAGTGGGGGGTTTTCAGCCTAATAACAATCTGCCTATTCAGATGGGGGTGGAATTCTCGGCTACAGTGAACTTCTGATCTTAGCCAATATTTTGAAGGAAGTTCAACAGCTTCATGGGGAAGAATCAAGTTCTGGCGATATATGCCCGTGTGACTATTTCGATATCATCACCGGCTGTGGTATTGGCGGGTAAGGGATCCTATCAATCGCAGATGCTGCCAGTATACGACTAACAGACGAATAGTGTCATTGCGTTACTTCTTGGTCGCCTTCGTCTAACACTAGCACAATGTCTACTTGAATATCGCACTCTCTCCACTTGTATCTTGCGTGAAAGCTGGGGCGGTCCTCTTTTCGATAAGAACAAGCTACAAGAAGTGGCCGACAGTATCGTCGAGAAATACTGCCATACTCCGTCAGCTCCACTGCTTGAAGACGATACTATAGGCCGAGGAAAGACGTAAGAGCTCCATTTCTTCCGCATCCTCTGTAAACGTCGCTGACTGTGTAGATTTGTATTCGCTGCCCAATCGGACCGCAAAGCATATTGCTTTCGGACATATCCCTGCTGTAACGATCACAATACCGTCCCTATCCGTATCTCTGACGCAATAGTTGCTCTTTTGTCGGCGAAGGGTCAGCTTGATGAAGGTTCGCTTGAAACACCTGAGGGTCTCATTTCCTTCGCCGATGATCTATATCCTTGCGGCCTCCGCAATCCGATTCTGGATGTTCACAAGGAGATAAGGGAACAATGGCGCGATCAGACGATCGGACTGATCCTGAGTATAGGAACTGGAATGGTGCCGCCCAGCGATATACCTGATCTCCTCAGGCTTGCCAAGCTGCACGACATCATGATTCCCTCGTTGAGTGATTTATTCCTACCTTGGAAACTGCTCGGTCAGTTGAGGCATCTTGCGTCCATTGGTATTGTCCGCCCTTATCCCGGGATACTTGTATCTACTACATCGCTGATATCCGCATCAAGGTACAACCGATCGGTCACCCGACGAGGTAACGCTTCTAGTCTCTTACTTGAAGCTATGCTAAAAGGCTGACCGTTCTCCAGGTTATCAACAAGATTGAAGACGACGAACGATACATCAAGAATAAGCTTTACTACATGGGATATGAGGAAATGTATAACCGGTTCGAGATGGGTCCGGTGAAGGACACGGGGCCGAACGACTTTCGAAGTGTGAAGGAAATCATAGATGAAACAGGTCGCTATTTGAGCCAGCACTCGGAGAGATTGGTTTCAGTGGCAACTCAACTATAGGCTGCTGGTGTCAGCTACTAGCATAATAAGTTGTGGGACTTGCTATCTTCTACATGGCAGCTTGGCTTTGTGAAAGGAACCTTTGCATGTGCCCTTTTTTTGCATTCTGTCTCTGGTCTTCCAGATCACTATATCACCGGTGCTCTAAGACCCTATCTATGCATTGAAGTTTTGTAAGGTAAGAAGATCGCTTAGCAGACATCCTAAGGATTGCAATTACCATTCCTTGCGAGAGTGCACCGGAGGTGATGCTAAGACTGGTAAGAATCTCGCCGCAGAAAAATAGAGAAGAGATAACAACAGCCCACGAGTTTCATGCATGGATTATGTGCCGCAGAAAAAATGCGGAACGAAAAAAGAAATTGCGTCAGCGGGGAGTCGAACCCCGATCTATTGCTTGGAAGGCAACAATGCTAACCGCTACACCACTAACGCTGCTGTTATGATCAGTGATTTACCTTACAAAATACAGATTCATTGAACAAGTTGTGAAATCCTGTGGATTTATGACGTTCCCCGTGCCATGGATCCGAGTCATCTGTCTTTGCTCGTTGTGCCAGCTGATAGGAGACTTTTTGGTAAAATACGTTTTGCTCAGCTTGATTCCGTGTTCCTGTCAGCCCAGGTTAGTAAAGCGCATTTTGCTGTCTGGATGACCCGGCGATAATCGGTAACCCGGTGACGGAAATATATATTAGATCATGATTCTGTCGGCCGAACCTGGGGGTGTTTATCGTGACTTACATCTGGTTGTGCATATCTATGATATGCATCTTACAGGCCGTGTGGGTGTAATCTATGGCTCACTATATCCCGTACTTTACCTCATGATTTGTTTATTAGATATTTCAGTACTCGTAGATACTCCACGTACAAACGCCAGATAGCATGTCTATAGGGCTGGTAATTAGAATGATTTTGAGAAGAACTCGGGGCATGAGAGAGGTAAGAATATACAACGGTGAACAGAACAAGGCCTCAAAGAGTGTAGGTACCACTGAGTACTTCAGAATAACCAACGGTGTAGCCCATATGGTCAGCATTTGATCGGAGACTGGTGGAGACACAGCAGTCATTAGTGTTGTTCATTGTATGCATAGAAGACGCGGAGCAGGGCTTAACTATATCCCACATTTCGATCATCTCGGTTTGATTAACGGAGAACCCGCCGATGCACCGCCATGATGAATGCTACACGTACCATCCTCTAGCTGAAGAAAACACCATTTCCAATTTTCCACCCGTAAAAGGCCAGATGGGAGGGCCCGCGCAGAGCGATAGAAGAGGTTCCGAACTGGCGGTGTCGCGCGATCCACGATCTACCGATCGTGCCCTACATTCGGCATCGACAGGCGCCATGAGTGACCCCACCGAGTGACCCGCTCGCACTCATCGCGCCTCTCACGACTCGCGAGTCATGTTTGCGAGCATCACAATTCAACCAGCCTCCGCTGTATCCTCTCATCCTACGTATTGGCGTGGGTCTCAATACGATTGGCGCTCCATCGCGATCGGCAAATCATCAGCGATATGGGCCATAGCCCATCCTTTACGCGGCACGTGAGTGAGAATTGAATATATAGACTGAGCTTCCCAGGAAATCATACCCCCCACTCAATACACCACTCTTCATCGGCATCATCAACATCCATACTCCACCCTCTATTACAACAATGACCGAATACAGCACTGACCTCGGAGACTACCTCGGTCGGGGAGTCTTCTGGATCCGTATGGGCTCCGCACCATACACAACGAGTGCAAACCTGCTGACCAGGAACTCTACCATAGTGAACCAACACTCCCAATATACCCGAGAGAGACACGCCAACAACTCCGGCCCCACGCTCACGGGCTGGTGCCTGGCCCTCAACCGACACGACGATCTGGTCTTCCTGCACACCGAGGGCTACCACCTCGGGTATATTCAGCGGAACAGCGCCCCAGGCGGTGTGCACTTCGATTCGCGCGGGTTCGCGGTCAAGTCGCGCGAGTCAAGTGCGCAGTTCATGGTGCTGGGGCCTGGGGAGCATTTCACGGCGGAGTGTTCGAGGGACGATATGGTCGAGTGGGCTAGACGCTGGAACGGGTATGAGGTGACCGGCGATGAGAAGGAATACTATATGGCGCTGATTCGGGCGGCCGAGGAGGGCGATGGTGAGGAGGTTTAGGTTGGATGTCTGCTGTACTGTACTTCAGACAAGTCTGCGGGTCAGACGTGAGAGCTGATGAACTGGGCGTTGACATTCATGCGAAGCTATGTGGGCGGCTGGGATATGTCGCCTTATCTAGTATTGGGGGTTTATTGGCTTATTGGCTTATTACTGAAATATGTGTGTATATCTACCTTCAGCTGTTGGGCTATATGTGTAACCTTTCTGCTGCAGATAATGCCTAGGTGCCTCTGTGATAACCTCACCGATCAGCATTGGTACCTCGTAACCTGCGGCGCCCCATTCTCCTTGCCACTCTTCAGAATCAACTCAATCTAAACCCAGTCAGTCAATTAGTCAGCCTTAATCAAATCACCTCCTTATTAGAGTAACAGAACGCAAGACATACCACTTCTAAATCCGCCAACGCCTCCTCGGGCCGCTGCTCAGCCTTCAATTTTCCAGAGGTCAACGCCTCCCCCCACGCCCTAATCTCATTCCCAACCGCCAATATCTCCACCGGTAGCGTCTGCATCTCATCATCCTCCCCCTCCACATGCACCACCACCCCATCATCAGTGACTCGCACATGGCCCTTCTCGCCGACCACCGTCCACCCACTCTCATCCAAGCTCGAACACCCGGACAGCTGGAACGTGCCCTGCGCCCCGGACTCGGTCCGCAGCACCGCATCCACCGTATCCACCGGCGGCAACGCGTCCGCGAAGCTGCCCACGAACGCACTCACCTGGGTGATCCGATCGCCCGGCCGGCCGCCCAGAAGATACCGCATCGCGGCGACATGATGCACCCCGATGTCCAGGACGGCTCCGCCCTGATGCTCGGGTTGCTGGCGCCAGGCGAGTGCTGTCCAAACCCAAACATCAGTCACGATACTCCAGACACACGACAACAGCCACAAAGGGGGCGGGGGCTTACCGAAGAAAGGCCAGAACACAAACTTCCCCGGCCGACAATCGAAGTACACCTGCGTCCGGAACTGGCGGATGCGACCGAGGCGGGCCAGCTGGGCGCGGCCCTGGCGGAGGGTGTCGAAGTAGCGGAAGTTCTCGGCGACGGACCAGGTCGGAGCGGCCGAGCCCTGGGGCAGAATGGTGGAGCGGTACCAGTCGAGCAGGGCGGTGGCTTCGGCCAGGTCCTTGGCGATGGGTTTCTCGGAGAGCACGTGTTTGCCGGCGCTGAGGGCGGCGCGGACGTATGCTGCTTGGTTGGTTATGGGGAGGCTTAGGGGGTTAGTTGGGTCTGTGGTGTTGGGGGTGAGTGGTTGGGAGGGGAACGGTGACGCACGCGATGATCACGGCTTGGATGTCATCCCGCGCGAGTAGCTGTTCGAGGCTTTCGGGCGCATCGTCGGCGTAGCGGTCGAGCTGTCGGTCTGGGGCGATGCTGGCGGCTGATTTCAACGAGCGCGAGTAGACGGCTTTCAGTTCGAGGTCGGGGGAGGCTTGGACTCCTGGCTGCGAGGGTGAGTTCACTGTTGCCTTGGTCGGTCGGTCTTGCGTACCAGATGATAGTCCTTGACGAAGAGGCCTGGTGGATTGTATTAGGGCTGGGGGATTCGGTCGCGGATTTCCAAGGGGTTTACCTGCGCCGATAAACGCAATTCCGATGGCCATTGTGCCGGATTTGGTCTGATGATAAGAGCAAAAAGTAGAGGCAACAGAGTCCCAGGTCCATGGCTTATATGCACCTGATCTAGCAGGGAATATGATCAAACCATGCCTGATCAAACCATGCCACGCATTATTAATAAGTGACCGGCCGAATTGGTTGATCGGCCGGTCTTTGCTCCGCTTGGGTGGGTGATATCGTGGGTTTCATGCATGGATGGTCTGCATGATGGCGTCAGATCCAATTTAGCGCGATGGAGCAGGTGGAACTGGCTACCTGCAGCCTCAGGCATACTTGTCAGCTGATAGTCACATTGATGAAAGATGGGCAAGAATGAAGCTGTATAATGCTCTTCGCTGGCATTGTATTCCAGGTGTGGGATCAGGTTGACTGTATCCCAATTGGAAGCAACTACAAACAAGTCTTGCTGGCAATCTCGTCCTAACCCGGATTCGCCCCTCGATTCCAGGATTTATCATAGTCCCAAGTGCGGAAGTCATGACGGACAAGAGCAAAGCTTGAAGCTGGCGTGCAGAAGCTTGCTGTGCCCGGTTGTAGGAAAGCTTATCCTCGATCCGCATGTCCGACCAAAAGTACAAAGAGAGGATGAAGCACCGACTCAGACCAAGCACATACTCGGAAATATCAGCCACCATGGCTCCCCCTTCTAAACGGATGTCCGACACTTTCAGTGCCTACCTTCGAGATGTCAAGCATATCACCGACCACACCGCTGATCCTGCCCAGATCCATATCGAAAACTTCATAGGCTATACGCGGGTCCCTGTCGGGCTGGCAGGGCCCTTGGACATTCGCACCCTTCACGGTGAGACCCAAAGCATATGTGCTCCCATGGCCACGACGGAGGCAGCCCTGATCGCCAGCTGCAGTCGGGGCTGCAAAGCGATAAACGCCAGTGGCGGGGTCGAATACATCCTCGGCCGCGAGCGCATGTCGCGGGGCCCTGCGTTCCAATGCGTCAGTCCTCACCACGCCCACGAATTCATCCAGATCCTGGCCTCCGTGCAAAACACCCTCTGCGAGATGGCTGAATCAACCAGCAACCACCTGAAGCTGGTGAGCCTCACCCCGCACCTCATCGGGTGCTACGCCCACGTGATGTTCTACTACACCTGCGCCGACGCGGCCGGACAGAACATGGTCACCATCGCGACGCAGCGGTGCTGCGCCTGGCTGATGGAGACGTATGCGGCGCAGTACCAGATCAAGCGCGTCTCGTTAGATGGACAAATGGCCTCGGAGAAGAAGCCCTCGTGGGGCAACGTGCAGACCCCGCGCGGCGTCGAGGTGACGGCGTGGGCCCGCCTGTCGGACGCAGCCTGCCGCGACGTGCTCGGCTGTTCCTCGGCTCTGCTCTGCAAGACCCTGGAAATGGGCCAGGATGCCTGTATCCGCAACGGGAGCCACGGCAACAATATCGACGCGGCCAACGTGGTGACGGCTATTTTCGTCGCAACCGGCCAGGATATCGCCTGCGTTGTGGATTCTTCGTGGAGTCACTTGAGTATACTCTACGACCAGGATACCAAGGACCTGACCGTGAGCTTGTACTTCCCAACCCTTACCGTGGGGATCCACGGGGGCGGCACCTCATATGAGACGCAACGAGAAGGTCTGCAGATCATGAAATGTTCTGGGTCGGGGCTGAAGGGGCAGTTTGCGGGATTCATAGCATCCTTCGCGTTGGGGTTAGAACTGAGCACTGCTGCGGCTTTCTCCAACAACACGTTTGCACGGGCCCATCAAACCTTGCGGAAGGGCGAGTCGGCCAAATTGTGACATGTTAGTTGCGGGACCTGTTGGTTGAAGGTTGAAGTCATCATATATCACTCAACGATAAAAGGATGCTTGATAGGATTGGTATTTGTCCTGGATTAGACCGAGAAACCTTTGTACTTTTGACGTAGAAAAGATATTGTGTTCCCAAGGAGTTTCACATCAAGGATCAATTTATCCTGTGTTTTAATCAACAGCGCAGCACCGGAAGAGTGACTTGTTTGAGTTGCAAGGTAACAGCAAGCAAGAGAAACTCGGCAACTTAGTTTTTGCTGCTCAGCTGGACCTGAAAATACTCGAAGGAAAACCAATGGTTTCAGGGCCCAGTCTATCTAAAAGAATGAAGAATTGATGAAAGAGATATAGAGCAAGTACAGTATACCCTTTCTTAGTCTTCCCACAAAGCCTGCCAGAAATCAAGAACAACATCTCCGCCCTCCGCTAATAACCTTTGAAAATCAGTGCTTGCCCCGATCTGATCAATCACCGAGACAAGATAGCTAATCATCAAACCTCGCATGTCATCACCGGGCAAAGTATTTTGGTACAAAAGTTGAATCGGCTCCACTAGATCGACAACGTTGTGTTTATACAGGGTAAACTCCGCCAACGTGGTTGCCAGTTTGTACTTGACCAGTTCCTTAAGCGGGATGATCCCGTATCTCTCGGCCAGAATGTAGAGCTCCACGTGTCCCAGGAAGACAACCGTAAAGTCATCGCGAGGGTGCAAATTCTCCTTGGGAGCATACTTGGCTTCTCGCCGGACGTCATCGTGCCGGTGCTGTTCCTTGAGCGTCTCGAAATCATGCCAGCGACGCTGGCCCCAAAAGGTCGTCGATTTTCTGCGCGGTAGAATGTAACCGTCAAAAGGACTCGAAGGTTTCTCTGCCTTCGGCGCGGCCGCTAGTGTCACTACAGGGTTCCAATAACCTGACTTTTTAGTGGTTAGCTTCTATTGGCTCACGTGCCTTCCGACCTTTTCTACATATGGGGGGAGGGGGGGAGG